ACCTATTTCCCTAAGAGCTAGTGGCACGAATGGCAAACCAAGGTAACAAAGTGCAATCAAACCCGGAAGCCGGACGATAGGCCAGTCAGATAATTAACATGCGCAGGCAGAAAGCATTCTTTCCCCCCCCCCCCTTCAGAGATTAACCCGGGGAGCACCCCTGATGAGCGGAGCAGAGCCCGACCACGACGCCACGCCACAATGCCAGGTGTCAGGGCATGCCTCCCCTGTGACCCTGCTAATGACCCCCATCGATTACCCCCACACACCACACTCACATACACTCACACCTATTCTACTGACCCCTCTAATCAGATCCATCAGTAACCAATAAGGCCGGATTAATCACCTCAGGGAGAGAGAGAGAGACCAGGGCGGCAAACAGGGCACATGATAAGGAAAAGATGGGCTGAGCAGACTTGTGCCACCAGTGCTAACCCTTTGGTGCTGGGTGCCAAATTTGATACAATGGCTGGCTGGGTGGCGCTGAGCTGACCGTTGAATGACAAGAGATTGAGATGTGCAGACGAGGCGTGGTTCCGGCGCAGACTGCGAATGTGACCGGCGAGCAGATCTTGGCTCCGTTCAGGGACTTACTTGTTTACTGGCGTTAACCCTCTGGGTCGTCGAGCCGGCGGCGAGAAGCTGGCCATGGCCGGAGAGATGAGGGCAGGCGGCGCAGACCCGTTCACCTCTGGCGTCACCACCGACTCCACTGTCTGACTCTGTCTGTCCTTGTTCTCCTCTCCTCTCTCTTTTCTGCCCTCTTTGTATCCCTCTCGCCGCCTCCTCGGGCCATCTTCTGAATCCTCAACTTTGCTCCGCCCCTTTTCTTCCGATATCGGTTGCGTGTTCCGTCAAAATGGTCCATTTTCCCATAAGTTTGATCCCAGTTTTGAACCTTGACTTGTCCGGCTTCCGCAGCGTACCCTCCGGCAGGCCGTAGTCATGGTGATACTCCATCTTTGAGGATGCTCCTCCCATTTCGAATTACCTTTCCTCTGATAAGTGGGAACTCATAAGCTGCCACCCCTTCCCACGAAAATGTAGCCTCAGGGCCAGCTGTCACGGCATCGTTGGCTCCGCCCACATTTCCATTCTCCATTCGAGTAGAGTCCTTCTGGCTGCGCGGATTGCTCTGTTGGTCCGCCCAATGTGCCTTACAGACTTATAGGGATTGCTTCTTGGATATATTCGGTGATCCTGTGAATTTGAATGAGAACGGCGCAGATGTACCGCGCCGAGCGCCCTTTACAGTGACACCGGACTCACGGCGTCGGTGACTCCGACCGGCTGCTCTACATTTCACCGGAGTTTTGGCTGAGCAAAGCGATCTGTATCCTTTTCTTCCTTGTTACCCTTGTAATCAAAACTGGTGGTAGCGCGCGTCCTCGGATTGTTGTCTTTCTTTCAGCCGTTTGAGTATAGATGTGTTCCTGTCGATCAGGCGCCGCCCCCGAGAGGTTATAGGTTTTTGTTTTTGGTTACTGCGTCGGTTGCACGCTTCCCAGACCCTCCTGGAATCTAATGATTTTTTTTTCTTGCCGAGCTGGCGGTACTTCAGAACATCTTCTATGGTCTTCAAAACAGGATTTTTCTTTTCTCCCTCTGCGTTTCCTCTCTTTGACCTTAGCCGCATTCCTGACGTCGGTCGCTGGGGAAGGGGAGGGCGGCGCGGCGGTTCCGTGTTTTCCGATGGCGCTCGTATCCGGGTTATCTGGGAACGACGCTGGCCACCTGGTGGGGTTTGGGGGAGGGGATCGAAAGGCGACTTCTTTCCCAGGGAGAGCTTTGCCAAAGCAGGTGCGGTCCGGTATTATGTTCCTGCCGCTGCGTGTTTTCCAGGCGGTCCCGTGTTTCTGATGGGCGTAGGTCCGGGCCAGTGGCATGCCATTTCGTCTGTTCAGCTTCGAAAATTGATGTGTTTGCTTCAAAACTGCCCTTGTGTTCCGTGTCTGAGGCGCAGCCGCAGCGATTTGAATCTGTCGCCGGGTCGGTCCCCACTCCCCTCCTTCGGTGATGGTCCGGCTGGATAAATGTCACCCATCGGGGTGCCGAACTTGGGACCAAGTCCTGTTTTCCAAGGTTCAATTTGATTAATGACTCGCCACTTGATACTTAATGCGCCCCGGTATGCTATTTGCCGACTTCAGATCCGGGTTCCCACGAAGTGGGGGGTGGTCGCCACAGTGGACCCTCGTTGTCGAAGCCGGCGGCCCCCTCGTGCCCTGTCGGCGGTCGGCTGTTATGACCGCTTTTGGCCGCTGACGCCGCGCAGCTGTCGTGGCGGGTGTCTGTTTGAAGCAGTTTGCTTTTGTGCCAAAACGTTTGAAATGTTAGAACCGAGAAATACAATGCTTGTAGGAGTTGTTGTTCAGCAGACGGGCGGCGATCCCGGATCTCGAATAACGGTACTAAGCCCGTTATGCCGCTCCGACACCCTTTTGACGATGTGGCCGGGCTAAAAATGGATGTTTTCGATATATCGGCGCGGTGGGGACTGGTGGCCAGATGGGACGCTGATCGGCCGTAGCGCCGTGGCCCGTGTTTGCAGTCAGGAACAGAACTAAATTGAAGTTAGAAAAAAGGTCTTCGTTGCAGCCAATGATGCTATTTGCAAAAAATGATAGAAAATGTAACCGCACAAACGTTACATTTTCTATCCTCTTCTTTGAGTCGCGCCGCGGGGTTAAGCTGTAGTCTTATGTTGAGGTCCGAAAAATTGGCAAAATGTAACCGCCAGCGTTACATAAGATACATATTACATGCAATACAAGTGCATAAAGCCTGCAATACTAATAAATGGATGAAAGACGATTTAGGCAACTGATCTAGTCGACACCAGAAGAGAAACGTAGTTTGTCTTACATCACATCAAGATCAGCTAGCGCCAAACAAAATCAACAGAAATATCATGGCGCTGCAACTCCATCACACCAGACTCGTTGCATGTATTTCATTGCACAATGAAACAAGTTGTAGCACCAGTGCAGCTGCTCTGCTTGTGTTCGGTCTTCACGCTCTAGGAGAAACGGGTCCGGCAGAAAAACGCGGAGCTCATCATAAACAGACAAAAGTATATCAACCAAACACTCAACAACACAGTTTCTATGACGCTTATCTGCTCGATTATATGCCAAAATGAAAAACATAGATTTCATTCAAGCAAATTCAGGTAAGTAGAAAGTGTTTTCGCAACCATCACATTCTAATTTCTAACTGCTTCGTTCCACATCGATGTGGATTCATCGAAGCAAAGGCCTCTAACAAAGTATGATACAACTGAGCTATAGCTTTCCAGGCAGATCCCCGCGTACATACATTGTTTCTAGTCGACATTCCAAACAGAACTCACGTTGACATTTCTCATCACACCATTACATTGGTTTGCGCAACGCATGACATAGGTACCATGCGTGCCAACGAAATGTCGTCGATTCATTCACAACCACAGCTCATTGGTGCTGGTTTCGTGGTTCTACTTCTGCATAAGCTGGAAGAGAGACTTGGAAAAAAACATGCGAAATCAATTTAAATTAGGCAACAATCAACACATATTGCGCGTATGACGACTCAATTTTTCTCCAAGGGAATCGTTCAAAATGATTTTCCTGTTTAAATATAAATCACACGTTTGATTATCAAAATTGCAGAAGCGAAAACCGAAGACATGACATTCACGTTCCTATGTCAAAGTGCACAGACTTAACCCGCGCCCGGCTGGGGGTCCTGGATTTCCACGCCCTGCTGGGGGGGGGGGGTGTTTGAACACCCCCCCTTGTAACTCGGCTCCTGGGCCACGTAGCAATACGCGGAAGGCGGCGTTCGAAAGAGCGTCGAAAATAATGACGAAATCACTTCGGTCAATTTTTTGGTCAGGTCATAGGTCAGGTCACCAGAGGTCATTGAAGGCAAAATTTCGCCGATTTCCAGGTCGAATGTCGACAATTTCCAAGAAGCCAACGCATAACTCGGGAACCAATAGAGCTACAGCGCCGCGGAAAAGCGCATTTGATAGCCCTATTAACGCCCTTTCTGAGTAATTCTCTCAGATTTGACCTAACGTCAACGGTTTTGCCTGCAGGGGGCAAAAACTGCAAAAATAGCCGATTTTTTCGGAAACAGTTTTTCTGCAATAACTTTTGACCCAAGCCCTGTACGAGCTTACTTTTACCGGCATCGTGTTCCTCTCGTCAAGACGCATCGAATGAACTATAACTTGACCTTGAAAGGTCAACTTGAAAATTTGACCTCAGGTCAAGGTCATGACCTGACCGGAAAGGGTCATGTTGCATATCAGTCGATCTGTATCGTCGATCTGAACACATCTAAGGCGTTTTCATCGCTCTAGCATGCCTCTATCAAAAGTTATTTGCGAAAAACTGTTAGATACCATTCGTGACCTAAGATGACCTCAGGGCATAAACAAGGGTCACGGACACTATTTTCATGTTCAGTGTGTCTAAACCACTTGTAATTCGGTGTTTGGGAGTGTTTATAATGTCTTTCGTCCAAAAGAGGCGCATTTCAATTTTCTCCCATTGACTTATAATGGGGAGGTCGCAAAATTGACCTGACCTTAGGTCATCGATATCAAAATTCTGAGATATACATTTTGTACATGCTATTGCTCTAAGCAATCGCTGAAAGTTTCAAAGCGATCGGTCACTCGGTGTAGCTATGACAGACATTGAAACTTTTTATGAGGTGAGGTCACTTCAAGTGACCTGGTGACCTGACCTTGAACGACCTTGGTCTGAAATTTTCACAACATGTGTAGAATTGATGTATGATAAGGTGTACCAAAAACGGCGGCGCTCCGCGCATTCGCGAAAAACCACAAGGGGGGTGTTCAAACACCCCCCCCCCCCCCAGCAGGGCGCGGGTTAAGCGACAGAAGCAGCTCTCTCCCGGCGATATCAGTAAAAAGCAATCGCACACTACAGCGCAACTTACTGCATATCAATGCAACAAGGCGGCTTAGCACGTGCCAAAGCCACCAATGACGTCCTAATCTTGGACTAGGATATCATTGCCGGTTTTCGCGCTACTCAGCTCACAAACATCTGTAGCAATATCGTTGTGAAAGACACATTTTACGTCACCCCCGTCCATCACCAAAGCTCTGAACTCTTCGCGAGCCATTCAGACCACAGTAACCGGTATCTTCTTTTGGTACTCGGGACTCCGGAAGGTGAAGTGTTCTAGCCGCCTCAGCGACCCGTACTCCGGCCCCGAGTGGGTGAACATGTGACTGCCACTGAGACCGTCGTCGGCCTCCAGGTCCTCCCACTTAACCTGCCACTTGTCCCCCCACTGGTCCGCATAAGCCTGCGCTTCGCGAACACACGCGCGCTGACGATCGTGACGACGCTTCCGACGCAGGAGTAGTAGAGCGACCAATATGGCGCAGAACACCACCACAAATACCGCCAGTGAGACTAGCAGCGGCGTGAGCCAGCTATTGCAGCCGAGTTCAGACTCACTCAGGGAAAATAACGACCTTCCTGAGTCCACACAACGCACTGGAGGCAGCGCTAGCATGTGCGGCAGCCTCTTGGGCAGCTCCCATAGCCAGCGGGAAGAGCAGTTACACACCAGAGGGTTCCCGGACACGTTGAACGTTTCCACTCTCTGCAGAAGGGACGTCATGTTCTCCAACATGCCCAGGCTGTTGCCGCTCAGGTTCAGCACTCTGAGACGAGGCAAACCCTCCACTGCACTGCTGGGGAACCAGGTTAGTTGAGGATTGTCGCACAGATGAAGTTCCTCCAGCAGATGTGAGTCACTGAAGGCATGAGGAGACACCACTGAAAGCGCTGCGTTGCCGCACACGCGGAGCCTCCTGAGGCGGCGCATCCCACTCATGTGCCGCGCCTGGAGGGAGGGGAAGCCGTTACCACCGGCGTCCAGTTCCTCCAGCTCCGGCAGGGCCAGTGACGTGGCCGGGAACTTGTCCAGCAGGTTGCCACTAATGTCCAGGCGCTGGAGACTTGAGAGACCGGAGAAGGCCTCTGGATGGAGCCGATGGAGACGGTTCTCCGCCAGAGAAAGGTTCTGTAGTGACGAAAGAACGTAGAACGCATGAAAAGGCACTTCGCGAAGCCAGTTGTTTCTCATCTTTAGTGTTCTCAGAGCACTGAGCTGACGAAATGCGTCAGATGGCACGTGCCCAATGTTGTTCTCACTCAAATCAAGCCACTCCAGAGCACTAAGCCCCTCGAAAGCCTCACGTGTCACTATTTTAATCCTATTCCGGGACAGGTCTAACCTCTGTAGATTCTCCATCCACTGAAACACGCCATCGTCCAGTGCGATGATCTGATTGTTGTCCAGCAGCAGCTCCTGCAATCTCCCCAGTCCACTGAAAGTCTCACTGAAGAGCGCTCCCAGTCGGTTATCATGCACACTCAGGCTGAGCAGATCCCTCTGCATGACAAACTGTCCCTCCAGCAGCGAGGTCAAGCTGTTGTTGGAGAGATCCAACCACCGCAGGCTCGGGTAGAACATGAGCGCGTCGGCGATGCTGGTGATGTCGTTACCCTGCAGCTGCAGCCGATGGATGCGCGGGTCGAGGAAGATGGGCACGGCACTGAGCTGGGAGTGACTGCAGTCAGAGCCAGAGCTCTCGCAGTGGCACTGGGCGGGACAGCGCGTCCAGACCGGCTCCAGGAGACCGGTCAGACCGAGCAGGGTCAGCAGGGCGGCCGACGGCGCCGTCATGACACCGCCCCGGGCTGGAAAATACAGAGACAGGTCACAGCAGCGTCAGAGCAGGATCAGAAGGGTTAGCGAGACACGGAGAGACACAGAGACAGGTCACAATGGTCAGAAGAGTGGCTGAAAGCACCGCCATGGCACTGCGAGGGGATGACAAATGCAGAGACAGGTCACCGCAAGGTCACAGCAAGGTCACAGCAAGGTCACAGACAGGTCACAGCTGGGTCACAGCAAGGTCACAGCCAGGTCACAGCAAGGTCACAGACAGGTCACAGTAGGGCGGCCGAGGCGCCGCGCCGTCATGACACCGTCCCGGGCTGTAAAACAGACAGAGGTCACAGCATGGTCAGCAGGGTTACCGAGACACGGAGAGACACAGAGAGACAGGGCTACTGAGATACAGAAAGACAGAGAAACGCAGAGACAGGTCACTAACAGGGTCAGTAAGGTTAACGAACACAAAGAGACACGGAAAAGCACAAAGACATGCCACTGACAGGTCAAAGCAGGGTCAGCAGTGCGGCCGACAGGGCCGCCGTAACACCGCCCGGGGCTGAAATAGGGCGCCGGTCACACGGATCACGAAGATGAGCTACAAACGGCTCATACTAATCGAAATCGAACTGATCAGTGATCACGCAGCTGGATCGCGGATGAGTCAAGGTTGCTGAGGGAACGAGCAGACTAGCACTCGAAACAGTGCATCTTTAGCAAACATATTTGTCACCCATAGACCTGGTGGTGTTGCTAGGATGTAGTATTCAGCATTTCGTAAGAATTTAAAATAGGCAACTCTCTAAAATTAACATTACTTTAACCCGCGCCCGGCTGGGGGTCCTGGATTTCCACGCCCTGCTGGGGGGTGTTTGAACACCCCCCCCCCTTCTAACTCGGCTCCTGGGCCACGTAACGATACGCGGAAGGCGGCGTTCGAAAGAGCGTCAAAAATAATGAGGAAATCACTTCGATCAATTTTTTGGTCAGGTCAAAGGTCAGGTCACCAGAGGTCATTGAAGGCAAAATTTCGCCGATTTCCAGGTCGAATGTCGACAATTTCCAAGAAGCCAACGCATAACTCGGGAACCAATAGAGCTACAGCGCCACAGAAAAGCGCATTCGATAGCCCTATCAGCGCCCTTTCTGAGTAATTCTTTCAGATTTGACCTAACGTCAACGGTTTTGCCTGCAGGGGGCAAAAACTGCAAAAATAGCCGATTTTTTCAGAAACAGTTTTTCTGCAATAACTTTTGACCCAAGCCTTGTACGAGCTTACTTTTACCGGCATCGTGTTCCTCTCGTCAAGACGCATCGAATGAACTATAACTTGACCTTGAAAGGTCAACTTGAAAATTTGGCCTCAGGTCAAGGTCATGACCTGACCGGAAAGGGTCATGTTGCATATCAGTCGATCCGTATCGTCGAGCTGAACACATCTAAGGCGTTTTCATCGCTCTAGCATGCCTCTATCAAAAGTTATTTGCGAAAAACTGTTAGATACCATTCGTTACCTAAGATGACCTCAGGGCATAAACAGGGGTCACGGACACCATTTTCATGTTCAGTGTGTCTAAACCACTTGTAATTCAGTGTTTAGGAGTGTTTATAATGTCTTTCGTCCAAAAGAGGCGCATTTCAATTTTCTCCCATTGACTTATAATGGGGAGGTCGCAAAATTGACCTGACCTTAGGTCATCGATATCAAAATTCTGAGATATACATTTTGTACATGCTATTGCTCTTAGCAATCGCTGAAAGTTTCAAAGCGATCGGTCACTCGGTGTAGCTATGACAGACATTGAAACTTTTTATGAGGTGAGGTCACTTCAAGTGACCTGGTGACCTGACCTTGAATGACCTTGGTCTGAAATTTTCACAACGTGTGCAGAATTGATGTATGATAAGGTGTACCAAAAACGGCGGCGCTCCGCGCCGCCGTTTTTGAGATATTCGCGAAAAACCACAAGGGGGGGTGTTCAAACACCCCCCCCCAGCAGGGCGCGGGTTAATGAAAGTAATACAATGTCGTTTGGCATTTACAGCATACAGCAGTTACAGTCACAAAAATAGAATGTAGTTAGAACTGTTTTAATTGCTTTATGTTTCTTTTTTTATTCGAGCATCAGAGCATGCCAAAATGGCTTCGGTTGGGCTAGATGTAGATATGAAAGCTTTACATAGCGATATAACATGACCTTCCCTGTTCGCAAATTATATATTGAAAAAGTAGTTCACTAGGCCAACTATAGAAAAGAAAACTCAGTGACTGGCATTATCTCAACTAGCACTCAAGAACCATCAACTCGTTTGTTTGAAATATTTATTTTAATTAACCCAGCTGCTGGCACCTTTATGTGTTCTTTGGCATGACAATTGTCACAGGTGCGCCATTCAGCTCTACATTCTCATCAGCTAAAGCACACCGGCCAACAAGCCATCTGACACCCATTATAACCTTGCACAGGAGCGCGAAGTCACCGTCAGGCTAGTCGCTTCAGTCCAAGTATGCTAACTGTCCGGTATATGAATGCAGGTGCTCTGTCGGGAATTAGGTGACCCCCGGCCAGGTCTGGACGACCCTCGGGCTACTCTCCGAGACAAATGAGACGCTCTGGAGACAAGACTGGCGATTTGTCAGCGGAATAATGTCTCCCCGTCTCGGCGGGGCCGGTCGAGTGTTCTGCCAGCTGCACCCCCCCCCCCTCCACATCCGGGGGAAGGGGGGGGGGGGTGCGTGGTGACTGTTACAGAAGAGTGTGGGGGTGGGAAGAGGTTAGAAGTCAGTGGGTCAAGGCGAAAGGACGCATCAAGTAAATGAACACGCAAATGACAGGAAAGATTCGCGTGCTGGTGGAGCAGCAAAGCTAGTCGGACCTGTGCAAATTTTCGGTGCCTTTGCGATACTCTTGATGGTATTGAAATAGGTGAATGTCTTGCTTATTTACAAGACATTCACCTATTTTTGTCCAGTGACCAAGGGTGAGCAACATCATCCGAAATATATGGACTTGTGAGTTAGATATTATTATCCCAGAGAATCATCCGAAAAGTAACTATACATAGCTAATTTCCTTGGAAAAAATGACTTTAAAACAACATATTTACAAGACGTTTGGTAAGGATTGGACCCAAATATAGTTGTACAATCATGTATTTCGTCAAAAGGGGCATGGAACAAGATTAACCTGCCCTCTTGCGCTACTCGTAAAAAGAAATAAATTTGAAGAAGTCTTGCGCCAATGCCGAATACGCTTGTATATTTTGAATACGTGGCAGTGAGTTACTTTCATAGTCACAGATAATTCATCAGCTCAATCTCTCCCAACCTCGACCTGCAGAAGTCGGCAGCTGTTCGCCCTATCTTGGAGTAATTTGTGTGGAATGAACTGCACACCTGCCCTCAGATATAGAGCAGGGATAGACGGTGAACAGTTGTCCAGCCGTCATTAGCAGCTGAGTGTCGCTTCTAATGCTGCTAGCTGACAATGGTGACAGCTCTAGTCTGGGGATTGTCCAAATACACCCAAGAGATTAACCCAAGAGATTAACCCTTCCCTTCTTAACCCGCGAGTTGCTGGGGGGGGGGCGTTAAACGCCCCCACTTTTTTCGCCGGGCCATAGCATAAAAACGGCGCGCCGCAGGCGCGCCAAATTTTGGGTACCTGTAGGGAATTGATTGAAGTGTATTGTGACAAAGTTTCAGAAAAATCGTTCGGAAAATTTTTGAGATATCGAGGTTTTAGTGACGTCATGATTTCTGAGTTTTCGACCAAAAACGGCATATGTTCAAAAAATCATATAAAATCACAGGATAGACATACAGACATGCCGTAAACGCCATTAGACTGCCAATACCATGAACAATCAAATGCTTATCTTCGATTATTGATTATCGATCCGCATTTTCCAAAATCTTGAACTGAATCTTGGCAATTTCTCGCGACTACTTCACGACCATGATACATGCATTTCTTAAATTGAACTTTTTGAGCCAAACAAGTACACATATGATAAAATGAATGTCACCATCGTGTTCTACGCCCCAAATTACCCATAAAACATGTGCCACAGGCTGCGAATATCAGTTTTAATTTTCGGGGATATGTGCCTACCCGGTTGACCTGACCTTGACCCTGACCTATGCTTGACTGACCCCTACATGGAGCTGACACTCTTGTAGGCCTTATATGATGGATTGTGCACCGGTTTGACAGAGTTGATGACGAGAGGCGCCCATTGCGAAGTCCATGCTACTGAAAACCCGATTTCAGGTGTTTGACCTGACCTTGACCCGACCTGTGACCTCAAAATTCAACTTTAAAGTACTCATCTGAAGCGTCTCGTCGCGTACTTTCGTTTGCCGCCTCGTGCGTTTCGCTGCGCCTATTGGTTCTCGAGTTATCGGCTGGGGGCGTTTAACGCCCCCCCCCCCCCAGCAAACGGTGGGTGGCGAAATACCCCAGCAACTGCCGGGTTAAATGGAAGCACCAGTTGTCGCCTGAGATAACTCCAAGTAAACCATGGCTATTAGCTAGCAGATTTTCATTTATATATGTATACTAAACAAACATTTTATATATAGTTAGATGGTTAGGAGTACTTCAAGTTTTACTGTTAACTCAATCTCACGCGTACTTATTACGCTTGCTGCACAACCTCATCATAATCCAATGAATAAAATCAACACCCATTTCCCGAGTTTCCCAACTTTGCTCGCCGCCAGGAGCCTCTGATTGAGGATCCACGTTAAAAGTTCACCGATTCCACTTTGCGGTGCTATCTGGCGGGTCGCAGGGCACAAACTGTTTGAGAGTCGACCCCAGATAACACAGGCCATCAGCCAAAACGACTCTAGAATGGAACAATCCCTTGGCGGCCGCACAACTCAGCGCCTAACTTTGACAAACATTGTCCTGTTCCGTGGAGTCATCTGACCCGCCTCATTTTACAGTCGTCTCGGGTTCGGGTGAGGTGAGCTGAGGGTGCGTGCCCTTTGACCCCGTGAGGTGACCT